GAGGGGCTGCGCTGACGCCGCCTGCCACCCCACGCACGCCACTGACGCTGTGGGGCCGGCACGATCGAACGCGCTGGTCGGGCGGGCCGTCTGAGTCGCCCAAGCGGTGCTCTGCCGGCCGGTGGACGCGAGGGTGGCCCAAGAGGGCTCAAAGTACGGAGCCGATACCCGGCCGTCCCGGACGCCTGGCACGCGGGCCAATGGTCCAGCGGTCCTGTGCATGGCTGGAGCGAAGGAGGGAGAGCTCAGGAGGGCGACGGGGCAGGGAAGGGGGCGATGCGATGCGGCGAGGTCTAATCGGCGGCGTGGAGAGAGGAGGTGCCAAAAGGCGACTATAAAGAGGCCTCTACGGGTGATATAGTGCGCCATGCCGGCGGGAGAGGTCTCTCACCGCCCCCCGGGCCGTCTCGAAGGGCCGTGCAGCCCACGCCACGAGGCGCTGCTGGCGGGAGCCTGGAAGGACTTGGCCTCGTTGCACCGCGCCGCGTTGATTCGCGACCACCGTCGGCCGCGGACGGCGTCGGCGTGGCGGCCGCGGGCGCTCGCGAGACGCGCCGCTCTGCGCTGGTTCGGTTCGTTCGACTCGTTGTGCCGCCGCACGCCCGGCGGCCGCGGGTCCCAGAAATGGTTGCGCGGGCCTCTTCCTTTCGGCCGCGGGACGGCGTCGGGCACGTCGTCGGTCGCAACAGCGGCGCGGCGAGCCGTGGCACGTCGTTGCTGGCGCTGGTGGTTTGAGGTCGGCATCGTCCAGAGCTCGGTCGACGAGTCGAGAGCTTCAGCTGGTTCGGTGCCATGTTTGTGCGGAAAGTGGCAAATATTCCTCTTTGACCCTATTCGGTGCCATGTTTGTGCGGAAAGTGGCAAATATATCTCTTTGATAGGGACGCCAAGGGAGCAACGCCACAAAGAGGAGCGCATTTCAATCCTCATTCGAATCCGAGCACTCACAATACGGCGGGCGCAACTGAGTTTCCGCTACCCAGAAGTTGCTATGAGTCGTTGTGGGTGTAATACGTCTACAAGCTGCTATGCTGCAGTCTTCACCCATTCTGAAGCCCCCCCCCCCCCCCC